ATTCTCAAATTCGGATTTAATTAGAAAAAGTTATTTTAAAAATTAGAAATTTCGTGATAATTGTATACGTTTGTTATTACGAGTAACGTAATTGTTTTACTACACTCACATAAATTTTAATTGAGATTACAAAAAGAATAAAATTACTGACATAAAAATTGGTAAAAATTTTAATGAAAAAAGATAATGTTCAAAGTTGGCCATGAGTGCACCCGGGAATTATTGTTATAAATCAAAAGTACCCTCTGTAGAAAGTACGGCGCTATATTTCATTTGGCCATACGACCTCAGGTATGGCCGTGGTGACCACTTTTATCGGGAAAAATTTGAATATCAAATCTTGTATCTTATGAATAAGTGTATCATATTATATATCAATGGAAAGGTATGGATGAGTGGAATAATATTCTGGAGGAATTTCCCAGATCTGACTTAATAAACAAAAGTTATACCAAAATTAAGAAAATTGCTATCAATTTTGTACGTTATTTACGGCTATAGGCGTTTTTGTTTTATCTCATTTATTTAAATATTAAATATAATTGAAATGATAATCATTTTTACAAATCAAAAAAATTATTAAATTTTTAATTTACCATTTTTGGCCATTTATGTATTGAAATTGAACTTGGTCCTTTGAGATAATAAAATTAAATTAATTCATTTGCAAGTACACTTAGAAGTTGAGTCGACTTTATTGTCTGTCAATCATTGTTGACCACATCCCTCAATTTGATGGAGGGGGAGTTAGCTCGACAAGTGTTAATATAGCTCTCGCGTTTGTACAGTGTTTATTATACTGTACACACTGTGTACTACACAACACATTACGGTACACAGCATTGTGTGTATTGTGACGCGAGAGCTATAGCCACCACTGATGTGTTTGCATCAAAACATATGTTTTGTTTCATAACTTTTAAAACATTTGTTTATTTAATTGTTTTGACAATTAATGCAATGATTAAGCGATTTATATATGAATGCCATTCAAACACATCAAACGTTTCGCTAAA